GAAGAGCTGACACAAATTACATCCAATGATTATCACTGACAATGCATTGCCGGCTTATCACCAGAAGTATGGGAGCTCTGAGTGAAATTCAGGGAGTAGTTTGAGCCTCTGTGAGTATCTGCTGTCTTATTTGCTGAGAAGGTTGTAGGTTTCTGTTCTAAAAGAATTTATCTTCTCCCTCCCTGTGAATAATTAAGACTAACATAAGGACTGTAAATGATTAAGAACAAGTTCAAAAGCTAAAAGGGAAGGGTTGAGCGATCTGTATAAATCACCAAGAAATGCCAACCACCGCTTTCTCCCTCCCACTCCTGTGGAAAACACCTCCAGGACAGGTGGGGGACCCAGTGGACTCAGCTTAGGGAAACCGGATTTCCAAGTCAGAGGAGTCAGACCTGTGCACAGACGAGGGGCTACAGGCAAAGTGCAGTGGGCCCTGCAGTCAGCGCCAGCGCTGAGGGGCGCTCTGGCCCTCGGGCTGGCAGATCACGGGGCTGAACTGTGGAGCAGAGTCACAGATGGACAGAGAGAAGTCCCACAACCCCAGAGGCTCCCACAAGCCTGGCTTTGCTTCTTACAGCTGGAGGTTCCCTGAAGGCCTTTTCCAGGGCAGCAATCTGCTTGGAAAGGGGAAGCTGGGGCCTTCCTTGGAGCTGGTTTCATAGCAGACACACTGTTTTACTTAGAGTCTCTGCTCATCAGGTGTGGGCTGGGGGTGTTGGTGGAAATCCTGAGAGGGCAAAGCCTGCCCCCCAAACCACCTCTGTGCTGTCACCCCGACCCACTAACTGCATAGCCTGCTTCACCCAGGAGCCACTGACAGGACTGGGTGCCTTAGCTGGGGTACGAGACAGCACAGAGGGATGTTCAGAAGGTTGAAGAGATGCATGTAGAAAGCAGATTTGGTCTGTGTCCCTCTAAAAAGCCTAACTGGGCCCGGATGGCATGGCTCACTGGTTGAGCTTTGACCTAGGAACTAGGAGGTCACAGATCGATTCCCGGTCAGGGCACATGCTTGGGTTGTGGGCTTGATCCCCAGTAGGGGTTGTGCAGGAGGCAACTGATCAATGATTCTCTCTAATTGTTGATGTTTCTCTCTCTCTCTGAAATCATTAAAAATATATTTTAAAAATAATGATAAAAAGCCTAACTGTGACCCAAGGTTAAGTGTAAGAAAGACTGCTAACAACTAGAGCTCTCAGAAGTCGGCCAGGTTGCCTCACGACACTGAATGCCCCATCCCATCGCCCACAGGACGTCGCCAAAGAAGAACTTCACGGTTGCTTCTGTCCTCTCCGGCCTACGACCCTGCCCCAGGGCACGCTCCCCATGTGGAACTAGTAGATGCACTGGTGACAAAAGTGATCACCTAAGGGAGCAGTTCATGCTTGTAACAAGTTTAGATCTTCGCTATTTATTTATTTTTCAAATATATAGTTATTTCAGAGAGGATGGAGAGAGAGAATCATTGATTGGCTGCCTTCTGCATGCCCCACGCTGGGGATTGAGCCTGCAACCCGGGCATGTGCCCAGACCAGACCGGGAATCAAACCCTGATCTCCTGGTTCATAGGTCAATGCTCAACCACTGAGCCATGCCAGCTGGGCAGATCTTTGCTATTTAGATTTGGTGGCTGAATATTTCTTAAATACTTTATAGAATACGTAACAGATATACGCATACATACAAGGCCAAGTTTTTTTTTTCACTTGAAAAAAAGGGGAAGTTGCCTTATAACCATGATCTTAGTGCCTCGTATCATGCAGCACTCTCCAAATTACTTTATTATGAATAACAATGAATAACTGATGTCAATCAATGCTACTTTTGGATGTTTACATAAACCCAACACAATTCATAATTTAACAAAGAGGAAAGGCCATTGAGTGCATGTTTTGTAATGTTTTCTGGGGATAGAAGCTCCCAACTGCTGTGAGGGAGGGCAGGAAGGCTGACGAGATTGCCAACACTTTAGAGAAGAATGAAAAGGAGCTCCGACCATGGGCCCTGATGCTGCAAATGGGGGCTGCGCCCTGGGTACAATTTCCAGGGACACATACACATGGACCCTCGAGGTGAGCATCTTAGACCATGTGGGGAGTGGACCTGGGCCTGGGCCTCACTCTGTGGCTCTGATGAAGGCACTGAGGCCGAAGATGTGGCCCTGGGAGTTGGACAAGAGCTGACTCACAGGCAAGAAAATGAAAAACGTACCATTTCTCAATTACTGAACATTACTTTATCAACGGTTTTAAATATGGACGGATGACTACACTAATGAAAAATATTATAAACATTTATATGTCTATAAATGTCTAAAAGTTAAATATTCAAATTGGCCAAAAACTGTTTGAAATCTCATTGGCAAAATAGGTCCGCTGCTCTGTGTTGGGGCTTGTGTGGAACTGCCTTTAAAAGCATCTCAAGGCCATTTAAAAGCGACATAAAACCAATACACGGGACACAGCAGGCTGCCCGCACCTGCAGGTGGTAGTGCTGCGTGCGGCTGGCGAAGCTGCAGTGCTTGTCCACCAGGAAGCAGAAGCGCCTCTTCTCCTCCAGGAGCGCCTCTCTGCAGCCCTCCGCGATGAACCTCTGGATCTCGCTCTGGCGAGAGGTGACGGTTTCTATGTACTAGGAAAGCAAGGAGCAGTTATGCAGTATGATGGGAGGAATCAAGCAGCTGCTCAGCTCAGCATTTATCTTCCGCCATTTTTATACTCAGTTTATTTGGATAAAGGAGTAACTACTAAACACAGATAAACGTTACATAAAATAACTAAGTTGTAACCTGGCCCGAGCAGATAGCATCATCTTTATCAAGATCCCTGACTCCTCTGTGAGAGAAGCTGCTAAAGGCTTACATTCCAGGGGGCAGTTGGCACAAAGTATCGCTTTGTACTCCAGGGAGAAGAGCCTGTTGCTTTAGAACCAGAAAGTCTGAGTTCAAATCGAAGTGTCAACCATATGACTTGACTTAAGCCCCCTCCCCATCTGTAAAATGGGGGTAACAGTGCTTACCCTCCCTGAGTGGGCAGGACATGCCCATGTTTTTAGGAGGCCACTGACTAAGCATGCTTCACCCTGGAAAAGTCCGCAGCAGCTCACAATGCGAAGTCAGATGCTCACTCTTAACTTCACCAGCAGCTCAGCCGTAAGCGGAAGAAGGGCTAACTGCAGTAAACACTTTCCGCAAACTATAAATCATCACCAACAAAACAAAGTCATGCTGAAGAGCTTACCTCAAGTTCTTTGTGTTCGTATTTGACTGCATTTCGTCCTCCTTGACTTTTCCTTCTGATCTTCTTCAATTCAGCTTGAGATTTCTCCAAAGAATCTAATTTATTCCTGTGTTCTGTTTGGTATCTTTTGAGAGTGGCCTGCAAGTTAAACATTGCACTTATTTCACTATAGCAGCACCATACAAACCTGAAGGCAGCTATTTTGCCAGCATTTTCACTGGGTGTGGCCGGTCTGCCTCTCACTTCACACCATCCTCCCTGGTCCGTGGTCCTGAACACCCTCACTTCACACCACCCTTCCCTGGCCATGTCCTGCACACCTTCACTTCACACCACCCTCCCCTGTCCATGTCCTGCACACCCTCACTTCACAACATTCTCCCTGGTCTGTGATCCTGAACACCCTCACTTCACACCACCCTTTCCGGGCCATGGTCCTACACACCCTCACTTCACAACACCCTCCCCGGGCTGTGGTCCTGCACACCCCCACTTCACACTTCCCCTCCCTTCAACTTTAAGGTTTGATGCTTTGTCCTAAAGTTCTGTTTATATGAGGGGCTCTTGACCAGAGGGCAGCTCTCAGGAGACAACGTCTTTTCTTTCTCTTGTTCCTTCTTTCCTCCAGGGTGTTTGGACACTGGGTGGTCAGTACTTTGGTGAGAATAAGTACTGTTTTATGACTTATGATTTCAAGAAAGAGACTGAAGAAGTACAATCAACTCCCGTCATTTGGGAGCTGTACAACAGTTTTTTATTGGAGCCTGACAGACCTAGGTTAAAATTCTGGGTTCCTCCCTCATTTCCCGTGCGACTTCAGCAATTACTTAATTTCTCTAAGGTCCTTCTGCCCTCTAATCTGTACAGTGACGATAATATGAGTTCGTTCCCACATTTCCGAGTTTCTGTAGGGATGCAAAGTGCTTGGCATCACACCCCCCTCCGCAGCCCCAGCTGGTCCTGTGCCTTCCTCTGAGCACGGCTTACTGCTGCACAGGGTCTTGGTGAGAAGAAAGGGAACTCTGGGTGGCAGTCGGGGGAAATGGGAAGAGCCCTGTGTGCCGGGCAGGACCAGGAAGGAGGAAGCTGCTGGAACCGACAACACCAGGTGGCGGCAAGAGGACCACGCAGGAGCAGCCTCTGCCATCAGACCTGGCGCCCAGACGGTGCTCTCCCACATCCCCTGTCCCACGGAGCCAGCTGTGAGGGCCACCGCTGCTCGAACACAGATGCAGCTGTCGCCAGCACGGGTGTGGGCTTGGGGCCAAGACTTCCAGAAGCAGCAGGATTCCTCGCAGTATTTTTCTATGCTTTTCAATAAGGATCCTGAGTGTTAGCAGAAACGAGCCCACTCAGCCTCAGGTGAACTGTCTGTCTGTGCATTGTGCACACCCTCAACACAGACTCCCTCCATATCTGCTGCTGAGTCAGGCTCAGAGTCAAGTGAATGCAGCCTCCTGGACAGCCAGGCCCCGTGCCCGCGCCTGCCTCCACCACGGAGGCAGAGCAACGCCGAGTACTCACCGTCATGTATTTTACGTCAAGTTCTGTCTTCTTCTCCAGCTCATGTATAATCTCTTTGTGGAATGCTTTGAACTGTTAACAAAAGGAAATAAAAATATTCATATCAGATTTGAGATGTTAAGAAAAATAAAATTTAAAAAGAAATACATGTTGTAAAAATAGAAAAAGAGTTCACATACATTTTCTCTAAAACTCTCATCAAGTTTCTGGTGGGTACTTGAAATCTCTATGAGAACGTGGCCTGAGAACAAAACCAGACAAGTTAGGGGGGAAGCCATTGTGTGGTATTGTAAAGAGGGGAAGGAAGTAAAAAAGTGCCTCACAGTCCATTGCTGCCCCCAGAACCCGTGGGCGTCCGTTCCAGACACTCAGACAACTGACTGCGCCCCATGATGGGGTGGGCATCAGGGGACGCAGCTGGTCACAAACTCACTCGACAACACCCTTCCCTCAAAAGAACGCCAACTCTGTCTTAAAACTCACCTGTTCTTTCTATATTTGTTCATTCCCTGCGCTCAACTTATCTGGTTTAATTTTAAATTCTCTTAAAAAGGGTTCTCTTGGTCATTATAGTGACTAACTATAGGAACAAACGCCTTATTTTTATCTACTCCCTAGAGCAGTCTGAGTTTCTATCAGTCAGAAAAGATAAAAGCTTTTTTGGTTTCTCACATTAGTTCTCGTTTCATTCTGGAAGATATGAATGCTGTGGAAACCCACGGCGGGCGGGACGGTGCTCTGCCTCGCGTCTCCTGGGACGCTGTCCATTCTAAGGACCATCGCACGTGACAGACAGAATGTCCCAGGACAAGGGCCTTACTCCAAAGAGCAGCGGGACGAGCACCTGCTTGGAAAGCACATCTCCCGCCGCTCACGGCTGCGTGCACATCTCTGCTCCTAACTCTGATGAAGGTGAATGAGAGCCTCTCTCTGCCAACTTATCTACAGGAACCAAATAGTCTGATAGCTAAGAGCTGGGAAAACCAAAAAACCACACGGACAACCCCCAGCCTAGACCAAGCGATTAAATGTGCTGGCAGGTCACCCAGAGTTTTCTGGGGGAAATGACAGGCTATGGATGAGGGAGTATGTGGGGAGAGAAAAGAACACTGACTGGACTACGACTTCGGCCACATCTCCACACGATGACTCCACCAGGCCCTGTTCTCAAAACGTTGTAAGACATCGACTTTCAAAGGGCTGGCCCAGCCTTTCCTTCATCTTCAGACTCAGAAATGAACATGTCCACTCGAATGTCCTGTTAGGCACCGCACATTCAACAAGTCTAAAAGTGAACTCACCCGCTCTCTAACCCCAGATCGTGGCTGCCAGCCGGCCGGGCACACCTGTGTGATACCCAGTGCCAAAGACGCATTCCTTGTGCATGGGGGGCCATCACTTGGGCCACTTCTAGGGTGAAACCATGGCCCCTACTCATCCTGCTACCTTGGGTAACACGTGTGCCAGCCCTTCCCTGCCCAGGAGAGAAGGCACATGGGAACAGCACATTTTCTATGTTCCACCAGAGGAGGAAGAGGAGTCCCCCAGTCCAACCTGCCAGGTGGTCCTCTAAGGGTGCCCCCCGCCATGCCCCCGCCAAGCTCTTATCATTACTCTGGCCTCCCAGCTTATTCTCTTTGATCTTCTTCCTCACAGGTGCTAGGGGTCTTTCCAAATGCAAAGGTCACAGGTCCCTCCCCATGGCGTCCCAGATGAACCAGCTCCTCAGCA